GTCCCCTTGGCGTGTGGGGAGATGCCTGCATGATGCTGAAGGCATCACCCCTCGACCAAAAGAGGGTAGTTCAAGGTTTAGGGTTTAGGGCTTAGGTCACGGACAAGTGTACTATAGTACGGAATCGCATAACCGACCCAACAACCCTATTCCAACGGTTTAAGGCCCCCACATCATAGAACCCTGCTATAGATCCCTTATGGAACCCCGTTAGAGAACCCTGACGGGAACCAGGCGAGGACCCCGCCGAGAAAGCCGCTAAGGAGGCTGAGAAGGCGAAGGCCACCATTCGGGATTCGGGGAGAGGAGAGTCCGGTGATGATAAGTCTGGCTAGTAGCAGTATCATGGTTGCATTTAAGTTTATTGTCAATACTGCTTTATTTATTCTTAGGATAGAGGTTCTGGATTTGGGGTTCTGCATTGAGGGCTTTGGTCTAGGGCTTTACGGATTAAGGTCTGGGAATCGAGGTTTAGTGATATAGAGTCGCGCTTCTGCGCATGCCTGAAACTTCCTGCGTTCTCCACCTTTGAACCTCCATCGAGCAAATCCCTTCATACACAGAGGTATGAATAAGCCGTAAATACCATCCCCTCAGAATGCCTAACTAAATGAACCCTGCACCGCCGCTGCTGCTGAGTGTGAGCCTCCTTCGCTCAGAGTATGCTGTGATTAAACCCTAAACCCTAAACCCTAAACCCTAAACCCTAAACAGTAGGATCCCTAATATAAGGACCCCAAGATAAGGTACCCCTAATTTTCGGAAAGTCCCCCTGCGACCGAAACAGGCGACCACAGGAACCCTCAGTACTAAAGCACAAGGTCAACATCCTTGAGCCCTAAATCCGAAGGCAGAGCCCGAAACCCCATAAGCCCTACCCTCAGCCCTAACAAACCCCAACTCCTACACCCTACCACCCAAAAGCCTCCCCTCCCGCAGAACCCGACTCTTTCAGTTTGATGGAACCCTCAACCCTAAACCCTAAACCCTAAACCCTAAACCCCTAAACCCCTAAACCCTAAACCCTTAACCCTTAAATCCCTAAACCCCTAAACCCCTAAACCCCTAAACCCCTAAACCCTAACCCCAAAACCCCTAAACCCTAAACCCCTAAACCCCTAAACCCCTAAACCCCTAAACCCCAAGCCCTAAGCCCTAAACCCCCTGCTGGCATGGAAGGAAGAGACCTGTTG